AATAATTTTGTAATTTGTACTATTGGGAGAGAAAAATAAAGTCATTCTTACCTTTAATTTCCTTTCCCTGTTTGGTCGTCTGGCAGACCTACACATATAGGACTATTCAGTCATGACCAACTAAGGGCGCACTCTAAGAGGGAAGAATGAAGAGCTCTCACAGCTGTAATAGCACTAAAAACGTGAGATATAAGAGAATTACATGTCTTTTCAACTAAATATTCTTGTAAATGTTTATTTTGTAGTAGAAATATTAGTTCCCAATTTAAAAATACTCCATCAAACTAACAGAATCCCTTCCTACCCCCACTCAAATACCCTAGAAATTAAAAGCTTTTGACTTTGGGAAAACCTGACCAAAAAGAAACAACAATGCTTTCACTACAAATTACATTGCAGCATTTCACAAGAGTAAAAGGCTTCTGCCTTGTTTTCTCAGTCTCCTGTGAAGGTAATGGCTACTGGCACTCTCGGTTCTCCATGTAGTGTGGATTTACACTGTTTTTCTTCACTGAAAAGGGAGCCTGTGATATACTGTGGGAGTTGTAATCCACCTAAGGAGAAGACTAGAAGTGTGAATACCCTGCATAGCTGCCCCTCTTAGGAGGCGCTATGACAGCCTTTCCAAATAAAAAATGCAGCTTTCAGTCCAAATAGTTTGATTTTGATTTCCTACTGAAAAGTCAGCAGTTTTTCTGTAAGAATAAATCCTCTTACTGACAATATTAGCAGCTGTTCACCAAGGGAATATTAGAAAAGAAAATATTTTTCCCCCTCTGGATTATTTAAAATTGTATTCTTTTCTGTCCTTTTTCAGTTTAAGTCCCATTTAAGTCACTGGGAGTCCGTTTATCACCAGCAGTGGATTTTGGCTTAAGTCACTGGAATTTAATAATTTCAAATGTAATGAAAAGATTTTTCTTGTAGAGCTTTGCTAGCTGAACCAGATTAAGATACCTCTTCAATTTCTTCTTACATGCTACACAAATCCCCTTTGTACTTTCTAATAAATTTACTACAAGGTCTTTTACTTCACAGAAGATAATCTATTCTCTACAGACTTCATAATAGAAGTATCAAAATATTTTTGAAGCACGTATTAAGAAATTAGATACATGATTATGTGATATATTTTACATGATTTTCTTTAAAATAGTTTGCCTGTTCATCAGACTTAACTCAATGAATAGAAATTTAAAGTAACCAAAATGCACTAAAAGAAAGTCTCTATGCAATGGTAAGAGTGATATATGCTTTTAGCCTGGATGCCTACCTAAAAGAGGCTTGCATGACTGCACAACCTGTCTGTTTGTCCTTCCTTCCCCCACTGCCATTTCTGAAACGTTTCGGTTCCATTTCCAATGAATTGGAATGAGCGACATATAGGCCAAAGATAATCTTATTCCCACAGGTTTAGTGAAATTGAGCTGGTGGTAGAGCACTGCTGAGTTCGAGAGCCGGGATGGGCAGAACCCAGTGCGGCACCCTCCTCGGGAAGGGACCCGCCAGCTGTCGCTGCTAAACCTCCATCACTCTGCATTGCCGCCAGCATCGTCCTCTCTGCCTCTGCACAAGAGCATGGAGGAAAGTGATCCTCCACACAGACCGACTACCTCAAACTAGAAATTAACCACAGTAGTTCAAGTTGACACAGTACAGAAAATACATATTTCTATCTGTTGCATTAGCATGTTCCCACATGTATTTTGTGACCAGGCAGCTCAGGGCCCACACTCAGCGGAAGGGGTCTTCTATGGCTGGTGAAGGCTGTCCAGGCAGATCTCCGCATGCAAGTTCACTTCTCCCTTCCTGCAGAGGGAAGGATGCTCTCTCCTTGGCATTGCTATGGCACGTGCTGGGAAGCTTTAACATGTTTACAGTCCCAAACTTCACTGGCCTAGATTGTTTCATTCAATAAAAAGCACAAAAAATGCATTGCCATTATACGTGCCCCACTCTGAACACTTATGTAGAGAAGATATTCAGATGGGGATGGGGTGTTACAAAATCCTGACAGTAGATGAATTTATGGACATGTATTTAAAAAGGAATTCAGGCATTTCTAAATACCGTTTATGTCACTAAAAAGATCAGACTACACATTAAAGGTTTTGTGGAAAAGGCATTCCCTGTCTGAAGTTACTAATCTAGCTCAGATATAAAATATGACTTTTATTCCCTGTCTGAAGTTATCTGAGTATCTAGCTCAGATATAAAATATGACTTTAGATTTAGGATTGTAAAGTTTGGCAGATTTTAGTGCCTCCAAAAAACATGTATTGTTTATGCCTCAGGCCTACTGGCACAACAGTAGAAATTACTTAGAAAGAAACTACTGTTTTTCTGAGATCTTTTGAAAAAAAAGTAAGTCAGACTTGTGGAACTTGAGCTTTGGATGGATCAGCATAGCTTCAATATTGGAATTCTGTGCTTTATGACTATAAGCAAAAATAATATAGGTCATAAACAGTGGCTGAAGCCAGAATCTGAAGCCTTGTCTAAATTCATAAACTAAAATTGTCAGGGCCTGTTTTCTATCCCCGAGCCCATCTGGCATGTTTTGGCCATATCTACTCTATTAAACTCTCGTACATTTTAAACACAACTAAATCACTTACTGGGAATAGACATGAGCTGACTCTAGCTCATGAACTGAGCTCAGGAATTTTTCTGCAAATGTTAATTATCACAGACTGCAGAATGCCATAAATTGTTTTAATAAATTAAACAGTATGATTCAAATCCAGTGCCCAAGCCCAAGTCATAGCACTGCTTAGTTTATAAGTCACTGATGTGTCTGCTCTGATTTAAATTGTTGGAGCAATCATTTTGCTCAAAGTCATTTTTGCAAGTATTTTTAGCCTTTTAATAGTTTTGAGCTTCAATTAAAGACGGAATGATGATCTGTATCTATAGAAGTCAATCTGTTTTTGCTACATTTCTAGTCATGAGCAGTCTTACTCAATTTTGTGATGGTATACAATTTTCTAACTCTATATTTCCATGCTTCTTTCCTCAGTCTTCTGTTTATGGTGCTACTGCAGCAACTGTCCTCTCCTTCTAACCTTTTTTCTATTCCGGTACAACTTTCTGTCCCCTAGAAGAAATAAGGGAAAACTATACACAGGTGAATAATGAGATAGTAAGACTTAGTATAGCTTAATGTATCACAATTGCATAATAAAGCACATACAATTTTGTTTTCTGCTTTGATTAGTAATTTCGTATTTGACATTCTAACTGCTCAGTCACCATAAAGCAGCTGCCACTCCTCTGCGTCAGTGTTTGCTTTCTTAAGGTTGACTGCGGAAGGTATTCATCCACCATTAGTTCTATTTATGATTTGGTAATCCTGCTATTTTGATATCTTCAGTGGGCTGAAAAGTCATGCAAATGCTAAAAACAATTGGTTAGAAAAAATTCATGCATGTTATATTGCAACAATTCTGAAGCCAGTGATAAGATAATATGCTTTACTGCTGTTAAAAAAATGTAATGAAAGAGCATTAGCAACCAGACAAGTTGGAAGCGTAACATTTTCATGTGTGAAGTACATATTAACCTCTTAAAAGAATTATAAAGAAATACAAGGTTCTGTGGAAGTCCTATATAACAACTGCATAGCTAGCTGTCTGTTAGTTTTCCCAGTCTCTGCCAGCTTCCCCAGAAAACTAGCCTTTAGTCCCTACCTTGGGATTTTTTCAGCTTTTAAAGGGAAGGAAACAGCAAGTGAACTGCCAAGGTACTTCAGTTGCTTCATTAAAGATATGTTTGGAAAATTATTTCTAAAATACAGCTCTAAACTCCAAAGAGGAATTTATAAAACCTTATATTATGTAATAGATACCTTATGTTATAATATTCTAATAGAGACTGATTTACACATATCGGAAGAAAACTGCTGTCTTTCAAAAATGGAAGAGAACTTAGCTCATCAAAAGACTCTAACAGAATGTCGTAATTCCGTGAGAAATATTCAGTTGCTTTTGTAAAAAAACCTTTTTGATTTATTTTCTCTGAGCATTCACAAAGCTGTTCTAAGGGAAAGGGTAACAGGAAAGGGAGAACAGGATTCTGAGCAGGAGAATGGGAAGTCCTCAAAAGAGGTATAAATACAATTTTGCATGAATACAACAGACAATGAGAAAATTTAAAAGAGAAATTGAGAAATAATTTGCAAGAAAACGTATATGTTATTGAAGATAATCAGTAAGTTCCAAATAAGAAAAGAGAATGGGCACCAGAAAGAATTATCAAAATGAAGAACGAGAGGTATCTTTATGGTTCCAAGAAAATTAAGAATTATTCTTTGCCAGAGAGATTTTATTTTATGGCCCCCTAAAGTTAAGGATATTAAAATTCAGAACAGTCTTAATCATAATTTTTATATGCAATTACCTTTTTTTTGTCTTGTTTCATCCTACTCGCATGGACTTTCTACATTTTTAATAACGTTCATTCTGAATTGCAGAACTTTTCTGTAGAAATGAAAGATTATTTAATAAACTAAGCTTACTTTCTGTTAAGGTTTTGTTCACAAAATTTAGAAAGACACATTATTTTTGTTTTTACCACATAACATTTAAAGGTCTGAGTGTAGTCTTAGTTCAGTAGTAACTGGTGCAATTTTCCATTCAGTTACACTAGTTTCATGTTAGTATTTAACTTCATATAAGAGATAATAGCAGTACAATGAAGTAGAGGAGGAATTCCATCATTCTTCCACCTACAGTCACTCTGTCATTTATAACTATTTGGCTAATAATTGAGAACTGACTGTAAGAAGGCTCTTCTGATTATATTGCTATAATTTATGAACGTTAAAAGCTCAGTAAATACAAAGAGCCGAAAAATGATTTAATGAAACATTTTCCACAAAAACATGTTTTATAAACATAATTAATGAAGTGTTTTTTAAAAAAAACAGAGATGATGATAGTTGTTAAAAATACCATACTCTTTACAAACATTTACTTAAATTTAATTAAAACATTTCTCATCTTTGCTAAATATTGTTTTGAGAGAACTTAGCTCTCCTGCTGTATCTCCTTGCAAACAATATTAGAACTGTAGATAGTTTTCCCATGGTTAAAATTAATTCCTCTAAGGATACCTCTTGGAATTAGGCAATCCTTATGGTAGGATCAAATCATCCTGTTTAGGCACTTTACTTCTGCCTAAGTTTTAGGCAGACAGAGAAGGATCCTTTTAAAGTAAGTGCCTAAGTCCCCATTGCAATCTGGCAAGAGAGCTACCTGCCTTAAGACCTCAAGAGGTAGATCATCTCTGACCAACTGTAAGCACCTAAGTTATGGGAACAGAAGCCTCACCTGAGGGCTTTTAAAGGCACCTACCTCCTTTCCCTATTAAATAGTGAATTTAGGCTTTTGCTTTAGTACGATTTGCTAGATTCCTAAAACTTGGAGAGAACTTTGATGAACAGGATCCATATACAGGTCTTGCCTTGTTTTTTGGTTTGTGTGTGTGGTTTTTTTTTAATCAATAAATATCACCTGATGTTGCCTCAAAATTGCACTAGAGAACAACTGTAATTTTAATTACAGAATTCTGGAATACTTGATATTAGGGGGATGATAAAGGACTATTTGTCAAAGTTAAAATGTCTTCCTTTTATAGCTTTTCAATAGCAGGAATCATTATCTGTGCATGTAAGCAAGTGACTTCAGAAGGGAGGTTAGGACTATGTCAAAAAAGAGCCATATTATTTCCCTAGTAAGGGAAATAGCTTGTGTATAAGCATATTGGTGTAGAAAAAAAGGGTAAAGGGATGGGCCAGTAAAATCCTTATGTCTGGTTATGTTTACCCTACGCCTAGAGCACCTACCTCTAAACAAAGCAGTTAGTTATTAAAGAAGCTGTTCACAGTCACGCATGGGGTTGTAACAGGATACTGTCAGTTCAGTCTATGAATGAATACATGAATTATTCATGAAAGTTTTATCAATAAAAAGAAAACCTTATGGCAAGCTCTCTAAAAGAGGATGTCTACAGTTAGGCTCCTTAGGGTGTGATCCTACGCATGCCCCAAAGCTCTTCAGCTGATCTAACAAGATATTTTAATATACAATTAACATTGTCTTGTGCATGCTCTGGGATTACTTCATATGGTTACAGTCAAGTGCGTGCTTAAGTCCTTTCCACAATTAGAAACGGAGTACTTAGTGCTTTGCCAGAGCTAGCTCTCAGGCCTTAAAATAACTGGCTGGATGAATTATTTTTTCAAATATATTAAAGCAAGATAGAAATCCAATTCCCATTGCAATTTTTGTCAAAAATTTGCTCCTTTCCACAATATGTTGTAGAAATTGTCTGTGTGCCCTGAACTTTTCAAAATGAATTAAAATTCCAAATTTTGGATACGTACTTTGCAAATGTTGGTTCACGTTTCTTTGTCGTATATGGGGTATATATGAACACGAGAACAGAAATCAAAATGACACCAGAAATATTATTGAATTAATATTTGCTCTGAGTTTTAGATTAATGTCAAAGACAACAAAATGATTCAATGTGGCTTAATGTCTGTTAACTCATCAGATTCAACATCCGTGAACAGTGTGAAAAGCATAAATATTACGGCTAATACAACTATAGGCTTCTTATAAAATCACAGAGTTGCAATATTGTGCATGAAATAGCTATTTGCTTTAAGAAAATAATTTATTTTCCATAATCACAACAAATAATCTGATTTCAGTTACTGTACATATATTTCCTTGCCATACTCTGGCTGTCCATAAACACTGGATCCACAGATGCCACTTTTGCTGCTATAAAGGAGTGAATACAGTGTAAAACTGCAGTCAGATCCTGAAATTCAAGTTCCTGAAAGAGGAGGAAAAAGAAAGGAAAAAAAAGAGAAAAAAGGGAATCATATTCAGGTTTATATATATTTTATGTAAATACAGAAAAGACTAGTCTGCAAACAACAATAGAATTTAAATGAAAATGTGAATCTTCATAGGAAAATGTAAAGTTAAAAGTTTTATTCTTAAGAGATATATAATCTTACCTCTTTCACTAGTATGAGTATGACAGTTTAGTTTGCATTCTTTATGCTGCTTTATTGTTGGACAATGAAAATAGATTCAGTTTGCAAGAATAAACATCGAGCGTATTTTAAAATAATTGATGAGCAAGGACAGTTGGGGCAGATGTGGTGCCAAGACACAGCCGGAGGACACATACTTGGCAGCCTCTTGGGAGTCAAATAATCAAACTGGTTCCTGTCCAGAGGCAGGACAGAAGCTGAGGTAAAGCCACACTATGGTCAATGTATAAAAGTAATGGCTAGATATGAAACGCATATGCCCTAGCTCAGCAGGAAAAGTAGAGTTACTCTCAACCAGTTCACAGCTACTTATGAGGTTTCATTTTGTGACACTTTACACGCTCAGGCCGTACTCAAGGAACCAGTGATTGAAATTACTGGAAATACCCAGGAGAAAAAGAGTTACTCACACGAGTAATGACTTCAGGACAGGTCAGGCTTGCTAAGAAGGACTTTTGGAAAATAAAGACGCCTGTGAACATCGACTTCAGCCATTAAGAGGATAGTGCAATTTACATGGCACCTTTGATCTTTCAGGGACCCAGAAGCCTGGAGTTACCACAGGTATTTTGAAATTGGGCCAGAATGATGGAGATCATCTTAATGTGCTATGACTTATGACTTTAACTACCACATGTAATCAGAAATTTTGCTTTTCATCTTATCCAGATTTACAGTATTCATGGAAAGATGTTTGGCATTTGAGAAATTTATTTTTCTATCATGGGATATTTTTTTCCAATGTCTATTACTATCCTATTTCTAACTCTTTTGTGATTAAGCACTCCTAGAGATAAATATCTTTTCGTTTCTTTTCAACAGCTTTATTTTATTGACTTTTTTCTTTGAGATGCTTACCTTAACTCCCTTGGAAGCTAAAGACAATGAGATAGGTGTCCTTGTAAACATATTGATATTTAAACATACTGTGCAGTAAATAACAGCTATCTTCTTTATGCTATGGTGACAGATGCCTGTATTGTTTTTAATAAATATTTTCCATATTTCTGTTGCATGATGGGAATCTTGTTTTCTCTTCTTCTGTGACAGTCACTGACATGCTGGGTCATTGTATACATCCCCAAGGATGGTAGACAATGACTAACTCAGGTGTTGATACACAATAAATAATACTGTGATTTCATTATTGGAAATGAACTCGTGAGCAAGATTGGCAAGTCAAGATAACACTGTTCAGGGAAAAATCTGCAAATTAGATGAGCCATATCTCTTCGCTTCTGCTCGGTGGAATCCCCAGGGTAAATTAAATATACTTGGTATTGAAAAAGCTGTACCTGGCTCGGTAAAAAACAAAAATCCATCTGGATTTATTAAGGAGACACAGCTAGTAAACACTGATACTGGATACAATATTTCAATCTCAATATGGGACAAATTGCTTGATTTCCCACTTAGACAAGCACTAATCAGAGTTTTCACAGGAAAGAAGTGCTCAGCAAGAGTCTGAATGAAAAGAACTCACCAGGAACTATGAATGATTTAGAAAGAAACTCTTAAATCTTTCTTGATTAAAATTATCACAAAGAGAGGGGTTCATTGCTGATTTTTTTTTGTACCAGCTAGGCTGTAAACAGGAGAAAGCAAATTGTGGATACTTATTCTGCCTCACATATTGCAGAAAAAAAAACCCAAAACAAAACAAAGCAAAAAACTTGGTATTTGCCTTTGTACTATTCCATTTCAGGAAACAGTCAGGTGGGGCTGTGAAGAGAACAGGAGGTGCTTGATCAGGCACAAATGGAAAATAAAGTAAAAAGGACGAAGAAGGAGAAGGTAACTTATCAGACTTTTAGCATTTGAGGGCTCTACTTCATGCTGAAGATGAGACTCTATTGATTTTTTTCAATGAATTGTGCACAGGTTCTTTACAACCTCAGGCACATATAGTTTATTGTCTCAGTGATTTTATTTCTCACTAAGCACATTTATTATTCTCAGACAAACGTAATTTCTCATTATTGTCTACTTTCTCTAATATAAGGTGGCAGTTAACAATACTACTGTGCAGTAAGAATGATAGAACGATATTCAACAGGCTCCCAAGATATGCTCTTCCTCAGGTGTAACAGGCATTACAAGTGCCTTTATTTTCAGGGAAGGGCCTGCTCAGACGCTATAGCCTTGGGGCAGAAAAAGTTTTAGCAACCAGCTGTCCTCCTCCTGGTGCCTGCTCAGTACAGACAAAGGCCTTAGAGAGCAATGCTTTCAGTCCCAAGTACTGCAAAGCATATATAAGTAGAGATTTTTAGACACATATAATAATCTTGGGTGGCTCATCATCAGACCATCAAATTTGAACTCTTTCCAGAATTTGGAAACACAATAATTTCTCAATGAAATGGCTTAGAAACTTTGTTAACAGAAGTAAAGCGACTCCACTCCCTTCAATAATTGTTTTCTGAAATTACTGATCAGTTTTCCTATAGCTTTCCAAGAAAAAATACCTGAATTCAGGCATTATGTAGGGCCATTTTTCATGCTTATACTTTAACTACTAAGTTAAAATAATTAGTAATTTAAAATAACTTATGATAACGGGATATGTTTTACAGTGTGCCTCCACAATATTTCCTTTCTATGATTTCCTTCTGTACAGTCAGTGAACATTTTAGTGTTTATAACTACCACAATAAAAATCATATGTCCTTTTATCTGAAAGCAGGTAACTCAGGATAATGGTTGCAGAAAGGTGACAGAAAATTAAGGAAACTTATATGAGGTGTCCAGATCAGATTCAGGTCTTGGGACACTGACTAATATTCAGCTTTTGTTCCTTTTGACAGCAAAGCTCTGCTTTCAGGGCATGCAAAACTTTCCATGGATTTGAAATACAATTCAAACTGCTATCTGACTTCCAACTGCTCAGAAACTCTTCCAGTCTCCAGCCACCAGGGCAAGGTTATTGTAATATCATATTCAGCAAGATGTTGCTACCTGTGTATATTTTATTGCAAACAAGTTCATAAACCCTTAACATGATTTAGATACTACACTGGACATGCTTCTGCATTATCAAAAAGTGAACTTGCTAGTCTCCTCTAGGATGGCATGGAAAACTATAAGGTATCTTGGGAAAGGCAGGTGGATATTACAGCTTTATTGAAATAAGATAGAGCTGCATATGTGGGGGAGAAGTATGTTTTGATAAGATTACAGCCTGCTTTGTTAAAAAAAATAAGGCGAGGAGGGGGGAGAGAAAGGAAAAAGGAGTGAGAGATAAAAGACAGAGAAGGGGGGAGGGAGAGAGAGAGGAGAGAGCAGAAAGAGCGAGAGAGAGCAGCTAGTTCTCTTAGCAGCTCTAGTTATTTTTTTGTGATGCTGCACCTCCATTTCTGTGGTAAGCTTATTGCTGTTCCTATGAATTGTATAAATGTGAAAAAGGCAAGAAAGAATATAATATCCCTTAATTGAAATAAAATAATCTATCCACTGTAGAAGTTCTCATTCTGGAATGTGTTAAACACTTATGAATCCCTATGAATTTAATGGAAATTACAGATTGACACTTCCAAGATTATAAAATAATGGCAAATACCAAACACTCCTAAACTGTAATAAAAACAATAGGAGCATAAGCCGATATTGCTGATGAGCAGAATGTGCTATTCATTGTCATTCATGTCTAGTTAAAAGGGAGAAAATAAACTATTATTAAAGGAAGAGGCAAAACTCTCTCAACCTTCTGCTTTTGTGTGCTTGCTAGTCAATAGATTAAGAAATAATTACCTTAAAAGAAGTATATTCTCTTGAGAGCTTATAGCAAAATGAACACTGAGGTAATGAGTAATAATTGGCATTCAGTTCCTGAAGTATTCATTTGGGCCTCGTACTCAAAATTAGATCTCATTGTGAAAGAAAAATGAAGAATAAAATATTGGTGAAAATCCTTTGAGGAATTTAAGCCCAGGTAATCTTTATTATGTTTTTTTGCATAATAAACAAACTACTTATTCTATGTTAAATGACAAATATGGAGCATGTAGGAAATAAGTTTCTAAGTATATTTTTTTTGAATAGATGCCTATTGTAAATAATACAAATTAATATAAACACCATCAGAAAAATCTAGTGCTATTATGCAATTTTCATTGTTCAAGTTTTTGACATTGAAATGAAGTGCACACACCTTTTTTCAGTAGAATACAACCCTTAATATAAAATAATATAGGCCTTAATATATCAGCTTAGGATGCCATAGTCCTACAGTGGGTGCCACAGGGTGCAGCAAGTATATCGTATCCTGAAAGAAAGACAAAGCTTTGCTGTGTCATGGCTGCCCTACAACCATTCGGCTCCATCCTCTACCATCACAGACCCACCACATTAGCAACTCACTGATGTGACGCTACTGAGCATTCAGCACGCTGGCCAAACGCCCCAAAGAGCTGAGGAAAGAGTTCTTTACAAACCTCATTTCTGTACTCCAGCTTTATTCACATCTTACCTATATCTGTTTATCAGAGACAAACAATCAGAGGCGACCTAACACAGACTGCAGGCAGGATTTCAGAACGCTCTGACAATGCTATGTGAATAATTGTAGAAAGATATGAGAAGAGCGAAGGAAAGGATGTCTCAGCCCTGGGGGACAATCCTTCCCAACACACCTGCTGTGGACTTCTCATTGCTTTTGTTAAGAGTTCGGAGTACGGAACAAAACTGGAGAAGGCCCTCCTGTGTACATGAGAGAGCTTGTCTAACCTGATGAGACTTACCTTTTGAATATTAATCTGCTATTATTTCTATCTGATAT